TTATTGAAAAAATATGTGGTATAAATAAAAGCCTTAAAAAGTCTTGAACCTTAAGAAAAGGAGACCTTTTCCCTCGTATTGCCGACTGAAAACCTAAAAAACGGATTATCATGTTATAAAACTTATTTTATTTAGTGAAAATATATATCTCATAATAATGTACAATATATTATAAAGACTATTTTTTGTCAATAAAAGTTATACATTCAATGAAACATTTTGAATACAATACATTATAATATAGTACCTTTGTTAAAAACAAACGAGGATTACATAAGATCATATTATTATAAAAACTTCATAATTCCGTGTATAATCTATACGTCGTCGAACCTAAATGTATATAGTATGTTATAAGCTATGTTATATTGATTTACCCACACTYGTTATTTAATAATTGAAATACATCCGATTAATATTAATACCTACATAATGCTAGTGTATATTTGTATACATATATTAAGGTACATGCCGTGTCTAATTTATTTATTATTAATGTATCATTCTTGATGTCGGTATTGTGACAATTGAAGCTTTTGTAAGACATAATTCATATGCAGGTATGTACCTATTATAAATCATTATAAACAAACAGAGCATTTAAAAATACTTTACCACAAAGTAAGTAGATTTTGTTGTAATTATATGTATAATTTAAAACATTAATATTTGTTTAAACTTAGAAAATAAAATTACCTATAGGTTCAATAGTTATAAAATGACAATGTATTTGTTTTATTTTATGAATAATGAGTGATGATTTTTAAATAATTCATGTTTAAAAATTTTATAAATATTAAATCAGTACTTTGGTTGGATCACAATTGTTTGATAAAGTAAGTTTTATCTATCAATATATAAAGAAAAACATGATGAACATTATGAAAAATATTGTGTGGTTATTTTTAAAGCTTTATTAACTTATTTACACAGAATCTAAAATACAACTTAAGTCGAAGAATGTATTTATATTGTTGATAGTTTGATACTTACATTTAAATTAGTTTAAACTGTAAAATAAATTTATCAGATATTGATGTTAATTTGTTATATTATATTAGCTTGTCGAATTTCTGATTGGCATATTTGTAAATTTGGTGATAAAAATTGTATACATCCTGTATATCTATAGATCATATTTTCAGGTGATTACATTAGTATTTGTACATCAAATTTTTTTATTTTAATCCATAAAATGAATATACCTAACAGTATAATATAATAAATTATATTTATTTTTTTGTTCAAAAATTATTTTAAAATGTACATTTGATAGGCATTCTAAAATCGTTTGGGGGTATTTTTTTAGGTTAGGTTATTACATATTCAGCTTTGAGAGTAGTAAATAAAAATAATATGATATAAACTTATGGTAACTACAGTGAAAGACACAACTATCACTTAAACTATTGAATTCGTCTGTAATTAAACTTAAATCCACATTTGAAGCCATTTATTGTTCTGTAAAAAGAATACTTTATGATTTTGGATCATAAAYTTATCCTATTTTAAATAATTATGGTTTCTAGACGCAATTGTAAAATACTGTACCAAGTTAAGTTAAGGTAACTATCTTACGGCTTACTTACGTTACTTAATGTAATAACATGAAATCATTTATTTTTAATTTTGATATTAAGTATTCTAGAATAAAAATAGTGAAAAACAACTGATAAATATGGCCCCTAATTAAGGGACTTAATTTTTAGGCACTAATAACAATATATGTGTAGGTGTTCTGATGGAATAGCCTGAGAAACCCTGCGCACAACTAAACTGATACCAACTGTTAAGAAGCAATTTAAGTATGCATTTTTGATACTAAACAAATTAATTGCAAATTAAATATCCAGTGTTTTATATGATTTTGTACAAATTACTACATAACAAAATTTTAATGAAATATACTTTTAAAATGTAACACCTAATTTAGCTAATAATTTCTTATAATTATTACCTACGCATTATTATTTATAATGGTTATTACATTTTTTAGGTATGGCCCATCATACCAAAATTTGATAAAATATTTTCTTTTTATATTTTTGGAATATTATAATTATAATATACTATAAATATTATAATTTTTTCCGATTAAAAAGTTATAAACTTCCATTTTAAGAAATCTCGCATTTTTTTTTTCTTACATTTATAGAATTTCAAAAGATATATACAGTAAGCTATAATAATGAATTAATTAAGTTGAAAAATAAAATTTTGTTAACTTACATTGAAACAGGTAAATATTTAAAATTGATTAATGTAAATTAAAAATAAAATATTAAAATTTACAGTAATAATCCAATAGTTTATAATAATAATAATAATACCTATATATATAAAGCATAAAATATCTTCGTATTTAGAGGGTACTACGTGATTAMTGATTAGTAAAGGAGATATATTATTATGTTTATAGGTACTTACCTATTTACATGCAATACATATCCGAGCTAATTAAACTATTTACTATACGATGTGAAAATGTATTTTTTATTGACGTAGTTCATCGTTTTATTTTTAGTACTTTTCATTATTAGTTTGTTAGTTAGGTATTATAGTTAGTCAGTTAGCTACTGACATCTATCTACCTTTATTTAGGAATGATCTTAAGATGAAATGCAATTCATGAACTTCAAAGTTAATATAGAAT